GCAGGAAAATACTTTAGAGAAATCTTCATTTTTGGGGGTTATCAATCTACCCTTTAGTGACATTAAATCTAGTTAAATAGTATAACACATGTAACTGAATGGTAGCCTTAGAAGTTATCTTAGAACTATTGGCTTGGTAAAATGTAAAGAGTACATTTATCTTGTTTTTTCAGGAATAAACATATCTGTGGAGGTACTTTGATAAAGGAAAACTGGGTTCTAACAGCAAGACAATGTTTCCCTTCGAGGTAAAGTACTTTGTATCTTTGTATAGTTGAAATGTATTTCTTTCCTTTAAGCCTATGGTACAATGCCTCTTCCATTTAAAACCTGAAGTTTTTCCCCTTGCTTTATCTTCAGTCTTTCTTTCTTGATAATCAGTGTTTTATGGATCATTTCTTTATTTATTCATTAGAAAAGAGCACTGAAGATTTTACACACAAGCATGACATATGACCATGTCTTTGAAGTGTAATGGTTAGACAATTTCCTCTTTATAAAATTTCATCTCATGCTACTGCTGTAAATGGTGTAAGGTGTCAGAGCTGGGAATTACTAACAGACAAAGCTCTTTTCCTGCAGCCTGGAATTAAACACTTATCTTCAATGGTCGTACTTAACACTCCCCTTTGGTCAGCATCTCCCATTGGCTAGTTTAGTAAGCTCCTTGCCTAGAATGCTAGCTTCTGTGAATCCATCTAACTAGTTTATATGTCTCCATTCATTGCATAGGAGCCAAGGTGCCTATCTCAGACTTAGTGAATTGCTGGATTTTCCTAGGCATCTAAAAGTAAGGTGCCGTTACGCTCAGCATTTTAACACTTAACTTCTTTTGTGTTCATAGGCCTTACTACTTAATCATTAATGCTCCATAGTATCTGAATATTCACAAGAACTTTGATAGGTTATGAAATTTCTGGAGCTTTCTTATTCTGCCTTAGAAATACTAACAGAACAAACTTTCCAATACCCTGCTTAGATACTGTCTGAATTCAAGAAGTACAACTTCACCATGCAAATGAAAATAAATATTTTTAAAAGTGTGACCTTTGGGTCTTCCAAAAGGTTCAGTTTGAGTTTTGGCTGCAAGTGTATTTTGGTTCTTATTTTTTCATACTTGTTTTCCCCTCTCTATACACTGCTGTTCTAGGTGTTCCAATTTATTGACCTAGCAACTTCCAGGGTATAGACTAACAGGTTTGCCATGAATATATGTAGAAGTGGGTGCATATTTCTATGATAAATGTTCCTAATATACAAGTGGAGAAAAATGGTAATCTGCTACAACATCACTTCTATTTTTAACATAATACTTCAGTAGCTCTTGTCTTTGAAGCTGCAATTTCAATAACCAGTAAACAGATTCTCTATCAAGCTGCAGTACTTGCAAAGTGAAATAAACACTTACAATTGGTGGAATTGATATAAAATGTAAAAAAAACAACCCAACCAAACAAAGAGAGAATACAGAAATAATGGTGACTGACACTAGCTAAAATGCCTTTAGATTTTGGAAAGTTTTGGAACTGGATGTAAACTTTATAGCTTCCCTCTATTTATGTAGTGCTTCCAAACCAAAACCCTACATCTGAACAGGACAAAATTTGGAAAAGTTCTGATTTGACTTTGAAATGGCATTGTGGGTCCATCCCTATCAGAGTCAGATAATATCTCTCAATGCATATGGGAATGATACTGTACAAAATAAGTAGTGTTGAGACTAATCCAAGGAAAATGCCACTCTATCATACCAATTTTGACTTATTCAGGTACAAAGATTTGAAAGACTATGAAGTTTGGCTTGGAGTTCATAATATCAAAGGAAGAGAAGAGAAACATAAACAAGTTCTGAATATCTCCCAGTTGGTGTATGGACCTGAAGGGTCTGATTTGGTGTTATTGAAACTTACCAGGTCAGTTCTTAATATGGCTAACACCAGGATATTGAATGTTTTGACTAAGAAAGAAATACAGGCTCAGACCTAGATAGTAGCAATACAGGTTATGTCCATATAGATTAAATTCACAGTTAAAGCTGGTTGTAGAAAGGCAAAGCAGCTATAGGTTATAAAACCATTCAAAAGAAATGTTTTCACTTTGTTTGAAATTCTTCATTTATTTTCAACAAAAATAATCATTTTGGGAGTAGAAATAATAAAACCCTTACAATATTTAGCTTCCTCCACCCTACTGGAAAAGGGTTTGTTAAAATAAAAGAGTAACAGAGGAGAATTTTCCCCATCCAAATAAAACAGGGGGGAAAACCCTTCAAAAACGGAAAACAATGTCAATTAAAACAAAATTTTTGTGGATTTCCTTTTTAGTGGTTGAAAAGCCATTTCCATTGAAAAACATTGACAGAAATGACAAGGAGTCCTGTAGGACCAAGTATCAGAGGGGTAGCTGTGTTCGTCTGACTCCACATGAACAATGAGAAGTCCTGTGGCACCATCAGCTCAGGATTAAACAAAGACCGTGAATGGCTAGCTAACTACAAAAGCAGCTTTTCCTCTCTCGGTATTAACATCTCAGATCAGCTGCTAAAAGTGGGCCTCATCCTCCCTGATTGATTAACCGCATTATCTCTAGCCTGATTCTGGCCTGCATATTTATACCTGCTTCTGAATGTTTCCACTACATGCATCTGACGAAGTGAGTCTTTGCCCACAAAAGCTTATGCTCCAATACATCTGATAGTCTATAAGGTGCTACAGGACTCCTTGTCACTTTTGCAGATCCAGATTAACATGGCTACCCCTCTGATAATTGACAGAAATGTTGACCAATTCTGCTCACTATGGCGCATTGATTAGTTGCTAATCTTTGTTTTTTTTCTGTTTTGGGGATTGGTTTAATATTCTTCACAGTACGTCCCTAATTTTCCAGATGTCCTGTGTTTTTGATTGAAAGGATAGTGGTTATATTATATCTTTGTCAAGAATTCAGTTGAGTAGTGGTTCTAGTATCTGGTGCTAGGTCTCTGTTTGGGGATTATTCTGGTGTCTGCTACAGAAAAGCTGAAAAATCATGGTTGTGAACTCACTCTGTATTAAAGACACAGCTGCTATATTGGTTCCATGAAATCTGGCATAAGAAGCAATAGTTGTGATAGCCCACAGGGGTCTCACAGCTCGATATTTATACTGATCCAGTAGTTCCAATAACTGGTGTGGATCAGCAGCTAGAACAGCAGTCGCCAGAAGGGCTAGTTGTACATATAGTTCCCTTCTCAAGTTAATGAGCACTCCAGCAGCTTAAAGCCTGAATTATTGGACATGTGTTGAAAAAGCAAGTTCCCCGTCTGCACCAACAAAAATAAATGCCATTTCTGAATAATAAATGCCATTCCATGTATCTTTTTTTCTTGATAATGAGGGCTTGTTAAAAACAGTGAAGGGAATGGTGCATGGTTTTAATTTATAGCATAAAATAAACAATAGATTGTGAGTGCCTTTTGTACATATGACCCTTCATATGTACTGTCATATTATAATAAATGTTTATTCAAATTAAGGGTATTCCCTTTATGCCTTCATTGTTTATCTTTGTACAGAAAACCCAAATTAAACAGAATAAATGTGGTAACAGCTTTTCAGGAAAGCTGCTTGAGAACTAACAGCTGCAATGCAAAAAACAATTAAAAGGAACTCCCAGATTTTCATACGAAGAAAAATAAAGCAGAAAAATGGTCACAATTGTTAATTACTACTGAGAGTTATAATAGATAGTATAATTTTTAAAAAGCAGTTTAAAATATCACATATGATCCATCATATCTACTCTGTTTTCTCTTTGCAGAGCGGCAGTATTAAATAATTTTGTGGATATAATCAGACTGCCCACTTCTGGATGCACCATTCCAGAGAGGACCACTTGTAGTGTTTATGGATGGGGATACACAGGATGTAAGAAATTATTTTTTTTAAACCAAAAGAGACAATGTATGTTGAGTGCCTACTCAGTTCCCATTCCCAACATAAAGGCTAGTAGTGTTGCCTAGAATTTAATTCAGGGGGGCTGACAGCATGCCAGGCCCCTGCACAAGGTGGGGTAGGCCAGCTTCATGCTGCTGGCAGGCGCAGGATTCTGGTGAAAGAGGTGGAACCAGGGGAAGCAAGTGTGCCACACCTGCTCCCTCACAGCCTTCAGTACTGCCTGGAGCATGGCACATCCCAGCTCTTAGACCTGCCCAGAGCATGCTGTGCCTGGAACCCGGGCCCTTTAGAATTGCTGGGCCCATTGGCAGGCCTGATATAAGTTCTCTAAAATGTCCTATTATAAGATTTTGTATTCCATTGCTTATAATATTGCTAAATGTTAACCCTTTCAGGTGAAATTTGCGACGCTTGATAGCTTCATCAAGCAGAATATATTTGGAAAATTAAAAAATGATTCAGCTATGTCTGAGAATGAGGCTAGAGGAAATTACATTGTTCTGTATATGTTAACATTTTGTTTGACATTTCCCTTATGAAAGCTGTAGCAGCCCATCTTTTGGAGCAGGCAGGGGGTTTTGTGTTAGGGCATGTCTACACTAGCCCCCTAGTTCGATCTAGGAAGGCTAATGTGGGTGACCAAAATTGCAAATGAAGCGTGGGATTTAAATATCCCGCACTTCATTAGCATGTTCCCGGCCAGTCACCATTTTAGAAATTGACTAGCCCGAAGTAACTACACGCATCTATACGCGGAGGTGAAACGGGATTCCGAATTAAAGCCCTAAATCGAATTAGCTGTTATTCCTCCTGCAATGAGGTTTATCAGCTAATTCAATTTAGGGCTTTAGTTTGGAATCCCATTAAATCCTGTGCTTCATTTGCAATTTCGGTCACCCTCATTAGCCTCCCTAGATCGAACTAGGGGGCTAGTATAGACACACCCTTACACATGCTCCTTTTGTCATCCCTGTGAAAATCTGCTCAAATTTGGCCACGCTATAAACTTTTTTAAAAATCACAGTTAACACATGTTCAGTGGACTTTGCTTAGAGTTTAACTCATAAAATCAGTGACGTCTCTGCAGTGCATACTCCAACGGAGGGCTGAACAAGACATTCCCTGCGATTGCTGGTCTGGATCACTAAGGATGAGGGCTGGGCACTAAACTGAGATCAAGGAACCTATCTCTCGTGTGCTTTCAGTAGGCACTGGGGCTGGCTGGGCAAAGATACCTGGCCTGGAAGCCAATGAGGGGGTTGCATGACTGGAATCTGGGTGTGTATGACAGAGAGAGATTAGATAAGGAGCCAGGAGGGAGTGGAATGGGCTGAGCAAGGAAACTAGGTGTGGCACTAGGACTTGCTAGCCAAGGAGGCTAGGCCAGTTGGGAAAAGGGCAGGGGAAACAGGACTGGGACAGGAACATGTTGGAGAGGATGGGAGACAGTGGGTTCATCTTATGGGGAAATGAGCAGAAGAGTCTATGCCTACTAGAACATGCTCTCCCCCTCCACCTTTGAGCTTGTAGTGGAATCCATGTTTCCTCTGCTTTGAGAAAATGGCTGTGAAAGCCACTGACCATGTACTGACTCACTGGAGTGTTGGTGAACATAGAGGATGAGAACCCTTCCTCGCAATCTGCTAGCCAAAGGGTAATTGATGGGTTTCTAAGAAGAAGCTCTATCTCTGATAGGTAGATAGCACCCCCCGCCAGATCTGTACTGGAACGAGTGCTGTTCAACAGATTAAAAAATGATCTGGAAAAAGGGTGAACAATGCGGTGGCAAAATTGGCAGACATTTCAAAATTACTCAGGGTAATTAGTCCACGGCTAACTCTGAAAATCTATAAAGGGATCTCACTGACGTGGGTGAATGGGAAACAAAAGGACAGATGAAATTCAGTGTTGATAAGAGTGCATTAATGCCCAGTGGAAAAACAATCCCATTTATATGTACAAAATGATGGGGTCTGAATTGGCTGTTAGCTCTCAAGAAAGAGATCTTAGAGTCATTTCAGATAGTTCTTTGCAAACATTCAGGGGCAGTTAAAAGGCCCACAGAATATTAAGAAACATTAGGAAAGGAATAGATAAAAAACAAAAAATATCCTAATGGCACTGTATAAACCTATGATACAGCCACACTTTGAATACCGTATGCAGCTCTGGTCACTCCATGCCAAAAAGATCTATTATAATTGGAAAAGGTACACAGAAAGGCAACTAAAAATATTAGGGTTATGTACTAGTTTCTATATGAGGACAGATTAAAAAGACTGGGACTGTTCATCTTAGTAAAGAGATGACTAGAGGGAATACAATAGAGGTCTGTAAAATTGTAAGTGGTATGGAGAAAGTGAATGGGGAAGTGTTATTTATCCCATCATGTAACAAATGATTCACAAGTCCCCCAGTGAAATTAATAGGCAGCTGGTTTAAAACAAACATAAGAGAATACTTTTCACAACACACAGTCAACTTGTAGAACTTGTTGCCAGGGGATGCTGAAAAGGCCAAAAGTACAAATGGATTCCAAAGAGAGCTATGTAAGATCCAGGAGGATAGGTCCATAAATGGCTATTTGCCAAGATGGTGAGGGACACAACACATTGTTCTGAGAGTCCCTAAATGTCTGAGTATCAGAACCTCTGGCTAGACAACTGGTAATGGATCACTTGATAAATGGTCTGTGCTTTTCATTCCCTTTGAAGCATCTGACTGCCTGCCTTCTCTGCCTCCACACACTTGCTCAGGGCAGCTCTTTGAATGCTGCAAGCCTGGGGGAAAGGAGAAGAGGCTTTGTGTGCTGCCTCTACCCCCAGCACAATCTTGAAACTCCTATTAGCCACTCACCATGTTCAGATTCAGCCATACGTGGCCCCTGCAGTTGGTGCAAGGACATGGAAGGCAGGAACCAGCTGGACTACTGCCAGGAGCCACCCATGTAAGCGCCTCCCAGCCAGAGCCTCCCTCTAGCACCCCAGCCTCTTCTCCCTCCGACCATCCTGCACTCCTACACCCATATCACCCAAACCCTGTGCACTCATGTCCCAGGGCATAACCCCCTCCTAGACCCTGCACTTCCTTTTATACCTCTCCTCTCTGTCAGATTCCTTGCCTGCACGCATATCTCCTCATGGACCCTGCACACTCCCTCTCCCCCCTTCCCCGTAACCCAGTCCCTTACCATAAGCACCTTCTGCACCCAATCTCCATCCCAGAACATGCACCTCCTTCATTAATATCATGGAAGAGTGAGACCCTTGACCACTTAATACATTCTTGGAGTGGCACAAGATCAAAAATTATTGCCCACCCCTGGGCTAGATAGACCATTGATCTGACCCAATATGGTCATTCTTATGTTCTCTTTGGTTTTATCTACACGGGGAATTATTCTGGATTAAAATTAGGATGTGAATTTGACGTATTTTGTCTATTCCAGATTAATTCTCTTATTCTAGAGGAATAGTACCTTTTTCTGGTTCATTATAATCCAGAAAGAGGCCCTGTTGTTCTGAAATAAGTGTCCAAATGGGCAGCTATACAAGAATTCTTTATTCCAAAATAGCTCCCTCCAAATTTTTGTGGAACCAGAATTTCACCCAAAGTCTCAATCTTACCTTTAGTGATTTCCCATGAAGTCATACAGCAAGTCATTTGTCGATTAGGGAATAGAACCCAGAAATCCATACTCTGTCCATTACTCTTACCATTGCTCTTTTTGTTGTAATAAATCTAAAACATTCATGCATACTACCGGGGAAGTTAGGAGAATCTGGAGCTGATAAAGCAGCATGTAACAGCATAAACAGTTGTTTTACTTGGTGTTCCTTTTCATTAAAATGTAATGTACACAATTCATTGCTGCTCTTCTTTTCTATGTTAGTGATTCACTTTGATGGCCTGCTCCGAGTAGCAAACCTATTTATTGTGGGAAATGAAAAGTGCAACCAATATCTCAAAGGAAAGATTACAGTGAATGAGTCAGAAATCTGCGCTGGGGCTGAGAGCGCTGGCACTGGACCATGTGAGGTAAAACAGTATGGCTATGACTAGAGTGCAAGAATCGACAAACATCTACTCAGGGTTGTCGCTTTCGTTATTAGTAATATTTTCCTGGTGTTTGCCTAATTATTCTCTCCATTTAATTTGTCAGTGAAAAGAAAACATGGATGTTATTTCCTTTCAAGACACATTGCCAACAAAGGTCTTTTTCTGGAAGACCCTTTTCTGCCCCCTGACCCTTTATTCTGCAAGTTTAGTTTATCTGAAATCAATGGGACTATGATCTCAACCCATTAGAACTCCTGAACATATGTGACGTTTACTCAGCATGACTAAATCATATGCATTGGTGGACTGAGATCTGTTTGTGGTGTAAATACTATACTGTGTGACTAAGGTGGCAACATCAGGCCCCCTTTGTGCAGCAGCAGTTTATTTAGATTGCTGGTAGGGTTGCAGTCAGTGCTGATGCTTTGTCAAGCGGCTTAGTCAAGTACAGTTTTGCTCAAGAAATTAACAAAATAGGCAAGTGCATTGTGATGTTGAAAGAGCACTCTGAACTGAGTTGAAGCCGTAGGCCTTTGAGTTCCAACATACATGGTGTAGAAGCCTTAAAATCTGTGCAACCCTTTCTGGGATTTAGAATAGCTTCAGCTTTATCAAATATATTAAATTCAGGATTTGGGACAGTTTGAGTTGTTATATACACTTTTGGGACATATTGGCATTCAGCCTAAATTGTGACGGGGATCTTATTGGGTGGAAAAGACATATCAGATGATATCTTTGTTTCTAGCAGAAAAGTGGAGCTTTATTAGAGAAGATATTATCCTTCAATTTCAGACTGAGCCAAAACTCAAGCAAATCAGGGAAAGAATTTTCACTGACTTCATTGGGGTTCGAGTCAGTCCCTCAGAATGGGAATTGGTAAGATGTGGAGGAAAAGATGAGCAGAATTGTTTAAAATCCTCGTATTGTAGAGCTACAACATTTTTGAATTAACAATCTGCCAGACAAGATGATGGGTAGAGAATGCAACAGTGATTGTTATTAGTACACATTTGGTATATGTGGATAAAAAATGTGCTAAGTGGTTCAATATAAATAAAACATTGGGCTTTTCCCTATCCGAGGACAGCACCAAGACTTGGTGCAGGCAGATCCTGATTAAGTAGAAGCATATTAGGGGGGTGCAAATCTTTCATGGGATCATTTGGTTATAACAAAGTATGTTCTTCAAAATCAAACATTTAGTTAATTATAAATGAGTTTCTGTGGGTGCTAAGATGATATAAATGACACACCTGCATAGAAGTGCTCTTGAAATCCATCCCTTCATTTCCCCTGTAAGAAGAAATGTTATTATATATGATATTATGATTATAACCTATGGATGTTTTCCCTCTTCCTGTGTTCTCCTTAGAGCAACCTCTATCAGTATGGAGCAGAAAAATAGAACTTTAAGATAATGAGAAATTAAATCAGAATGGCAACTGAAACCCTAGCTGAAAATATTTCCGTAGCAGGTTTTGTGTTGCTATAATGGCACATGCATCATCTGTGAATTAACCTGAAATCAGCAAGAACTAAGAAAACCAGCTGTATTTGGAAAATATCAGTCACTGTTAATTCTCAAGTGATCTGGAGAAGATAGGATAGTTTTTGTCGTTTATGTTGTAGGGCAGTATCTCCAGATCTGATGCTCTTTCTTGCTGGTGTCAGTGAAAGAAGACTGCATGATGTTATTGTTCATTAGCTAATCAAAACTTAAAGAATATCAGTGCTATCTAAGGGCTTGTCTAGACTACATCCAGTTCTGTTAACAAAGCAAGCCGCTTTGTCGACATGAGAGTGTAGATGTAAAGGACAGTGTAGCAATAACGCCTTCTGTCGACAGAACTCTGTCAACAAAAGGCGTTATTCCTCGTAAAATGAGGTTTACCACCGTCGACAAAACTGCTGAGTTCTGTCGACATTATGTCGACAGAACTCAGCAGTAGTGTAGACGCAGGTATAGTTTTGTTGACAAAAGTCTACTTTTGTCAACAAAACCCTGTAGTCTAGACATACCCTTAGAGGTGGCCTTTGTTATCTATGTAAACATATGAGGCTGTATATACCCCGATGCTTTGTTGTTCAATATGTGACACAGGGATAGCACTGCTGGCTTTTTTTTTGTATCCTTTTATCAATAGCCTGGCATTGCACCAGAGATTTTCCAATCATCTGCACTGTTTGCCAGCTGGCTATACTTGCCAGGTGGCTGAGAGAAGGAAGCAATATGGTTGGTATGTAGAAATTTGGAGGTGAAGGGAAATTCGGGGCCTCTCATGGTTCAAGTTGCATAGAGACCCGACAAAACCTAGGGCCCATCATGCTGTTTGTTGATACAAGCCCTGTTTGTGATGCTCTGCACAAATAAATATATCACCATACTCCATGGATTGTCATACTGAAGGTTCCTAGAGTAATGTGCTTCCCAAGAGCTCAGAGAAAACAAGTGGGGAATGTGTCTTTTAGCTGTTTCAAAATTAATGTTCTTTATTTCTCTTTTCCTAGAGAGATTATGGTGGTCCCCTGGTCTGTGAACAAAACAGGATGAAAATAATAGTGGGTGTTATTGTTCCTGGCCGTGGATGTGCCATTCCAAATCGTCCTGGGATTTTTGTAAGAGTGGCATATTACTCCAAGTGGATACGCAAAATTTTGTTAACGTACTAATCTGAGCTATAGCTGAATATTCCACACAAACCCACCAATTTTATTCACATGAAGATTTCAGAGAGCATGAAATTAATGTGTAATGTAAAGATCCATGATTTTCTTAAAAACTACTTGATAGTCAAGTTTCTTGATCTTCTATTGATATTTATGGGTGTTTTCTGAAGATTTTGTCTATCAGTGTTGTTTTATAAATGTTGAAGTGAGCTACAGCATATGCAAGTATGGTGACATATCTCCTGAAAATACTTGAATGGGTAAACAAATTGCAAAGATATGATTGCTGGATGCAGAAGTGTTTTGTGGAAGCTCATGTGGTCTCTTTAGGCTGCTTCTCCAGCTCGGCTTGTCCATGAGAAAAAAGAAAGCTTGTTTTCTTTAATACCTCTTACTCTTGCTATGTACACTGCTTTCAGTTTGTGGCAAAAGTTCTACTGAGAGCTGTGCATTGCTCAAGAACAGCCTATATGGACTTAATTCTCTGTCCCCATCTGAAGAATTTAAATATAATTAATACTATATTTTTAAAATAATCTCTTTATTTGCTCATTTCATTGTGGGCCCAATTCTGCAAGCCCTCTATGAGCGGAGCTCTCATTGAAGTCAATGGGAGTTCCTTCTACATAGGATATGTAGGATCTGGCTGTGTACTTATTGTCCAAATCAACCCTATGTATAAGGGTAGGTTGATTAGCAGCTTATCAGACTTTGTTTTTAATTGTCCCAGAGTGTGTGCTCTGCAGCTGGAGATGTAATTCAGGCAGATATACACATGCTAGATTTGATTGAGCTAGCATGTTAAAATAGCCCTGTAGCTGTGGTGGTGCCGGAAATGGCATGGTCTAGCTCTCTCAGTATTTACCTAGTGACTCTGATAGAATTGCAGTCAGAAGGCCAGTCCATCCAGTTGCCTGTGCTGTCATGGTCACACCGCTATCTGGAAACTGCCCCTCCAGCTGCAGAGTAGATTAACCCCTAGATTAAAACAACATATCTAAGGATATGTCTACACTGCAACACTATTCCGAAATAACTTAGTCTGCATCTATACAGCAGACAGTTATTTAGAATTAATGTCGAAATATCGTCAAGCTGGACTCCTGTAACCCTTATTGTACAAGGAGTAAGGGAAGTCAGAGGAAGAGTGCTCTGTTTTGAAATAAGTGTTGTGTTGACACTCCCAATTTTGAAATAAGCTATTTCAAAATAAGCTACACAATTGACATAGCTCAAGTTGCGTAGCTTATTTCGAGTTAAGCCCTGCTGTGTAGATGCACCCATAGGGTCCCAGAAATTTATCCTGATGAGCTAAAGACAGACCATTTTTTTACGGTTAAAATGAATTCCATTCAAATAGAGAGTTAGGCCCAGATTTCTCAGTGACTCATGGAAGTAACTGTGGATATACAGCAGTGTAGAGGTGTGTCTAGACTACATGCCTCCGTCGACGGAGGCATGTAGTCTAGACACACCTCTACACTGCTGTATATCCACAGTTACTTCCATGAGTCACTGAGAAATCTGGGCCTAACTCTCTATTTGAATGGAATTCATTTTAACCGTAAAAAAATGGTCTGTCTTTAGCTCATCAGGATAAATTTCTGGGACCCTATGGGTGCATCTACACAGCAGGGCTTAACTCGAAATAAGCTACGCAACTTGAGCTATGTCAATTGTGTAGCTTATTTTGAAATAGCTTATTTCAAAATTGGGAGTGTCAACACAACACTTATTTCAAAACAGAGCACTCTTCCTCTGACTTCCCTTACTCCTTGTACAATAAGGGTTACAGGAGTCCAGCTTGACGATATTTCGACATTAATTCTAAATAACTGTCTGCTGTATAGATGCAGACTAAGTTATTTCGGAATAGTGTTGCAATCAATCTGCCCCTGATTTTATAGAATCAATCAGGGAGGAAAAGAATACTGTTGTCATTAATGCATTTAAAACTAACCATTGGAAACTACATACTTTTCTGGAGGCAGAATTTCAAACCATCATATTTAACAAATAGGGCTACTAAATAACCAATATTTAAAATAGAGTGGAGAACATCTTTTGCTTTTAGTAACATTACATATATTTTATTTATAGACATTATGTTGTCTTTAATAAAAACCTAAACATTTGGTTAAACAATACATCTTGGAGACAAATGGAATTATTGCAGAGATGAATCTGACTTGATGTAAAGTATTGAAAATGTTACTAATGGTTTAATTGCTTGTTTTTCATGTCTACTTGCACAACTATGGCCATAATGTTCCATATTAGAGGTGGAGCAAGAGAGTAAATAGTCATCATCTATGAGGTTTCCTTGTGCTCCTTTCGAAAATATATAGCTGAAATACTAAACAATTAGCAAATGGCAATATTGTATGTTAGATGGCACTCATTATCATGTGTCTGCTGGAAAAATGATACACTATATAATCTCACTGTACTTACTACTACTGTACATTAAAATGCATAAGGAACTTCATTGTTGCTGTATTCATGCACTATGCAAAGGCTATCTTCAGACAGAAGATTGTAAAGTATGTTCCATATCTAACAATATAGCTCCTAAACAGACAACATGGTGTAGATTCATAAAAGTAAATAACATTTTAATATAATTACCTTTAAGTGGCACAGGACTGAATCCTACCTTGGCAAAAATAACCTTGGGAGGTGGGCAAGGTGATAATTCCCCAAATCTTAGAATCATAGAGCTGGAAGAGACCTCAGGAGGCCATCAGGTCCAGCCCCTGAACAAGGCAGGACCAATCCCAACTAAATCAACCCAGCCAGAGCTTTGTCAAGCTGAGACTTAAACACCTCTAGGGATGGAGACTCCACTACTTCCCTAGGTAACACATGCCAGTACTTCACCACCCTCCCAGTGAAATAGTTTTTCCTAATGTCCAACCTAGACCTCGCCCACTGTAATTAGGACTATCTGCCATCTGTCACCACTGAGAACAGCCTCTCTCCATCCTCTTTGGAACCTCCCTTCAGGAAGTTAAAGGCTGCTATCAAATCCCCTCTCACTCTTCTCTTCTGTAGACTAAACAAACCCAAGTCCCTCAGGGTATGTCTACACTTGCCCCCTACTTCAAAGTAGGGAGGCAAATGAAGCATACCGAAGTTGCAAATCAAGCCCAGGATTTAAATATCCCATGCTTGATTTGCATGTTCCTGGCCGGTCGCCATTTTAGAAATTCACTAGCCTGGAGTAACTGCCCAGGTCTACACGTGTCAGTGAAACAAGAGTCTGATTTCAAGCCTCTAATTTGAATTAGCTGGTAAACCTCATTGCAGGAGGAATACCAGCTAATTCGAGTTAGGGTTTTAAATCGGACTCCGTTTCACTGCCGCGTGTAGCCAAGGGCAGTTACTCTGGGCTAGTGAATTTCTAAAATGGCGACTGGCCGGGAACATGCAAATCAAGCGCGGGATATTTAAATCCTGGGCTTGATTTGCAATTTCAGTATGCTTCATTTGCCTCCCTACTTCGAAGTAGGGGGCAAGTGTACACATACCCTCAGTCTCTCTTTAATTAGCAAAGTATTTTGACTTTAATGGGAATTAACTATATAGTTAAATGCTTTGCTGAACAGGGATGGACTTTAGCATAGGTTTACTGCTTTGCTGAATTGCACCCTAAACAGTCCACCAGCACAAAGCAAGAGGTCGTGCAGCAAGCAGATAAATAGGCATGTTTCTGAAAATCCTTCCTCATGTGAGTCGTCCCACTCACTGCTTCCATGAGAAGGACTACTTGTAAAGGCTTTCAGTTTCTGGCTCCTGGCTTTCATGCTTGGATGGTAGCTGGAATATCTGCCACTTTGCAGGGAATACTGC